GAAAACAAGAAAGCTCAGAGAGTACCAAGGACCCCTTGAATTGGAGTATAAATCCGATGCGATGGATAAAATGTAAAGAAATAGATATATATTATCATTCTTGCTGGTCTTGCAAAGTTGCTTAACTGTTTTGGACTGATTTTTTTTAATGCAGATAAATTACAATTCAGACCCTGCCTTACTATGTTTTTGATAATCAAGTGACATCTTGGGGCATAAAGTATTGATAGTTTTTTGGTTGATTGCAGCCTGGCATGAACTTGAAAGAATAGGAAAGCAGTTGTCTATTTCCATATATGAAAAACACTTTCCTTGAAAAGGTAACCTCCCTCACAAAAGGTATCAATATTATGATAATGAAGAACATGAATTTTAGCCTACCTGATTTAACCTTACCAAATAAGTACAATAAAGGCATAATATCTGATACCCAGTTTCAAGTTCCTATATAATTTAATCAAGGCTACAGACATTTTGTTTTTATATTTTCTTCACTGTACATTGTATATAAAATACAGTAAACGATTACTATTATCTTTAAGCTATTTTTAAGCTATAGCTTTCTCAATAAATAAATAAATAAATAATTTGTTGATTCTCTGTAACTCTGAAAGAGGGTAAGTCTTTGTAATTCAAGATTGGTGTCAGCACCTGGCAGGGATTACTGACTTGGCCAGTGGCCTAGTTTTAAATATGTTTAATTTATGAGTCATTCCATCCATAGCTCTCAGGGCAATATAAATAAATTCAAAAATTAAGCACAATAACATCCATTGCATATAGTAAAACAAAAACTAGGCACAATAGCAATTTAAAAGACTAAAGATTAATTTTGTATCATAAAACAACAAGTAATAAAATATTTTAAAAAATGTAAGATAACTGTAGTGAATATAAGGAACGTCTACTAAAGGTCCTATGAAGATTAAAGAAAAGTTAATTAAGTGTCCATCCAGCGTACAGGTAGACACAACAATAGAAGTTCAGGAAAATCAAATTCAGAGGAGACAATCAAGAAAATGGGTTTCACCTTCTCAGGTGGGCTTTTAAAAAGTGGGGTGGGTAGCCTCCATTTTTGTCACCATCTTTTGAGATTGGTGTTTACTCACCTAAAGCTAGCTGAAAGTTAATTACAATAACCAGGCTGGATCTACTAATTTGGATACTAAGGTTCATGAGAGATCCTGAGGTTTTCAGGACATTAGTCTCAAGATGATAGTGACTGGCATCAACTTCAAAAAACAATTGTTCATTACTTCTCTTCTTTTGATTTTACTTTTTAAAGTAATTTTATTAAAGATATAATTACAATAGTACATACAAACTAAAAAAAATAGAAAAATAGAAAGAGCAAAAAGTGCAAAGACAGAAAATGAAAGACAAAAAGAACAGAAACGAAAAAGAATAATAAAAGAATAAACAAAAAGAAATGTATGAAGAACTTTCAATACGTATAAACAATTTTAATAATTTTTGTCTCCTCTTAGATTATGACAAGTTATCTCTTCATCCCAAACCCCATCTTTTATTACAAACAAATTCATAACACATCATTTCAGTTCTTGTGTCACTCAAAATCCATTAAACTTTCCAAAGAAATTCTATAGCACCATATTATGGTGATTTTATTATGGTTTCATCCAGGGTTGGGTTCTATTTATCTTTACTACCGATTTGCAACTGTTAAGAGTAATGGATGTAAAAGGTTACAGCAAAATGAAGCCAAAGCTACAATTAAGAGTTTACATATTCCTTTGCAAGTTTAAATAATAGCAGAGCAAATGTAACAATTTGGTCGCTAACAGATGGGAACACAATTGCAAGAAAAGAGTTCAGTTTTTTGAGGTCTGAGCTCCCAAATTCAATGCCATCTGTAATTTGTCCCTGAACTTATTGTAAATGAAACAGTGGAATGCATAGTGAATAATGTTCTCCACTTGACCAATACTGCAAGATCAGACATGTTGTTTGATAGGGACTTTATAAAATCTTTGTCAACCCTGGGGGCCATCTTTTCTTTGGAGCTTCAGGTCTGCCTCATTAAGTGCCTGGGAAAACGGAAGGGGGGATTTGCAAGGAGTGGTGAAGATATATAGCCATAACAACATTCTTTTCTCTGGAAGTCAAGGACACTCAGCCCACACCTGGATGGGAGTGACTAGGGGCTGTCTCCAGTTTGGAAGGTGGCATGATTGGATCTTCTTTTTTTTATTTATTTAAAAAGTTTTATAAGTACATTTTCTCCCCAATTTCCCCCCTCCCAAGCCCCCCCCCCAAACCCCCCATGCCCTCCCTAGCACTCCCCTTTCCCCCCCAGGACTTCCACAAAATAAAATCCTAATCAAAAAATACATTTTATAAAGCTTAAACCCCTCCACCCCCTATATAACATGATTGGATCTTCTGATGAGCTTTCTTTTGGGTGGGGAATACCTGGGAACTTTCAGATTCGGGTTTTCCCAGATGTGCCAATATGACATCTCTAATAAAATGGATCTTTGAGGAATCGCTAGCCTCGGAGTCTTCTTTAGTTCGGGATGTTACTTGGAACCATGACAATCTCCTTTTGAGTTATGCAGCAATCATAATCTGCAGGTGAAGGGAAGTTAAAGCCCTTTTCACTGAATCACTGGAATCCCTTTCAAAACGCCTATCTGTAATCTTTTCTTTATTCCAGGAGCTACATTCTCCCAAAGGTGGAAGGAAACATATTTGTAGATGGGGGACAAAGGCTGGCCAATGACTCTCAAGTGTGTACTCAAATGTTGATGGAAAGTAGCCTTACCTCCATAGGCTACTTAAATAGGTAGCAGGAGTTCCCTATGGGAGGCAGTAAATCTTACTAATGAGGTTATTTTGGACTATTTCCAATTGGGCAGTATTCAGGCTAGACTAAATATTATAACAAAGCAAAGCAAGATGTCATAGAAGACAGCAATAACAAATCACCTCCAAAATGTCCCTGGAAAATTGTTCATGAAGTCACCAGGAGTCAAGTTTTTCTTGAGGACAATATGCCCAATATTTTAAAGTTAGTCTCTTGAGATGGCCATTTTACTGGTCTTTTTTTCTGAGAGTCAAAGCTATCCATCAGGATGTAAGGCAACATTTTTCAATCTAAATGTGTTGCAAACAAGGAAATAGTTTGTTTAGACTCTTAACAATTGTGGGCCATGAGTTAAAAAAACAACCCTTCTTGCATTTTACTGATCTATTTCAGGAAAGAACAGACAGGGGGATTATTTCCCCTTGCCCTTAGGTAGAACAGTAGGTCCTACATACCTTCTGTTCTATAGTTAAACATTACTGTAGGTATTAAACATATGCTCTCTTTTTCTCTAAATATATAAAAATATATTAAAAATGACCTTATATCAGGCCTAGCTGCTGATTTCCACAGTCTAAACCAAAAGATCATTGCAGTGATTGTTATATTTTAGGGGTGGTGACGGTGGCAGAAGGGGAACAATAAGAAAAAATTAGTCACATAATTATACCTTTTTGTGTTCAACGTTAGAAAAGGATGTGTGTGGTTTCAGTTCTGGCCTTGTTTGAATTCCTAAAAAAAGGAGGCCTCTTAGGGAGGAAGCATATACCTTATAGTGTTTTATCCTAAGTCACATTAGGGTTGAGATAATGGATGGTTAGCAATATATGTTTACTATGACACTATAAAGACAGGTTATGACACAGTTAAGATTATTGGATGTAACACACTGATAAAAAGCAGCTTCCTTTGACTTAATTCTGAACAGTGAACAAGCATCTTATCTGAAATGTAAGGGTTGTTGAAGACTGCACACAGATGAATCCTGATCTGTTGCAAAGCAGTTCTGATTATCATTCTTCTTCTTTCATCTGTAAGATGAAAGCCTACTCCAGATATATTGTAATCTATCCTGTGTCTTTGCACTTTTTTTTAATAACAATGTCTGCTACATTATATTTTAAGTACCAGTAAATCTGAATTTTGAAATCCTTAATAAGTAACAGCACCAATAGTAATAGTAGTAGTAACAGTATATAATAGTGATATGGAAGTTGCGGCCTGGAATCTTTGGAGCAGAACAAAATGTCAGTTTCCTATTTACAAGGTTTTTAAATTTTATGTTTGAAGAGAGGTATCTGTTATGTCAATCAAACCAATGTCTCCTGCTCAAGTTAGTTAAGAACAACTAGGGATTCTTTTCCATATTATATGAAGCTCTGAGAAGAGAGTGATTCCAATGATATGAGATGTAGAACTTCTAATGGCATGCAGGGAGGATCTTTTCATGTTATAACAGGATGGAAAGCCCCCCCGCATTGAACTAAAATCCTGTGCCAGGTTGTTTTTTAAGAGGATACTTGGTTCAGCAGTGAAATGAGTTTCATACCCTAGCAAATGTTCACATGTTCTGACTAGCTTTGCATTCAAAAATGTTTTTGTTGTCATCAGTAATATTGCACAAGAATGTATATTGGTCCACATCTCATGAAAAATTCCTGTCCTTGGTTCTGGATCTTTCCAGCTCTTAGAAACAAGTCACTCATTTCAGAAGGGTGCCTAATAGGTTTTTAAACACCTCATCAAAAGATGCTCGTCTAACAGAGTACCACTACCTGTTCCTCTCTCATTTCAAACAATAATCTCTATCGGTACTTGTCAAAATTCTGGATAAGTAGTCAGGCTTTTTAAAAAATATTGAAAACACAGTCTGGTTTTATCTGCAAGAGACTGACTGACTGACTGCCCCCCCACTCAAATATATATAATATAAATTTGGAATGATTCATTCTGTTGTAGTTCAATCTTCTTCTCATCTTTCAGAATACACTCCACATGCAGTTCTAGAGCATTCCTTCCCACACTCTCTGGTGACATATTTCTTTGTCAATGTTCCTCCTCTATTCTTCCCACAGGCAACACCAATAGATAGCTTGCAATCTCTATAGAAGGGCCATCCCCTTTCTCCACCCTGGAATATTTGTTTACCTTCCTAGTGTTATTTGTTCCTCCTCCATATTTATCTGCACCTTTATCCCAGCAACAATGGATCTTCTCTTACTCACCTTCATACTATTTGTGATCTTTCTACTTTATCAATGGAGCATGACCTTCAGATTTTTCTGCAAGTTGGCCTTCATCAGTTGCTGGGTTTTATTCCTGTCTGCCACAATTTCCCCTTGGGTAGCTGTATTCATTGGACAAAGAGTGGAAAACTTTAAGTGAGTAGATGTTAATTCTAGCTTCAATTTGGGGGATGAGAACAAGATACCATAAATCTTGGCACCAGGTTTTTCTGAAAAATGGGCCAGTGATGGCCAGCTTCTTCCACCTAGGGGACAAAGATTTACCTATAAAGCAGCATGAGAACCAGATTGTCCCACCCTTCAGATCGAGAAGATAGTAACCTTTTCTTTCATCAAGAAACTAGAAGTACAGTGAAAGAGAATGATGGATCTTGCTAGAGTATCATTTTTTGGCCTGATTTATATCCATTTGTGAGTGATTTATTCAAGACTGGATGGACAAAGGAAAAAGCAGAGAAGTGGGGGTAAATCGTGCAAAGAGTGCATAATTACTTTTCATATTGGTTTTGACTTAACACCCATTTTTCACAAGCTTATCCTTTCAACAATCCATTGGCATTCAAAAGATTAACAAATTATTTATGGTATGAACTCATGGTTATGGTCCATTTTATCAGCTATCTGAAGTGTTTCCCTAGATAACCAAAGTATTTATATGTATTTGTAAACAGACATGATAGGCAAAGGGGCACTATAAGTGGCAATGGTAAAAGAAAATTAAATACAACCTGTATTGGAAATGCATTGTTTTAACATTTAAATGAGTGTTCAAATCTTTACAGTGCCCAATCATAAAGAAGTTTTAATAAAAATAAAAACCTCCTATTATTAATAAGATGATTAACTCCAGTAGTAAAATAAAAATCTTTTGCAGATGCACAATTGAATTGATGCACCTATTCTACTTCAATGTTTTCATTTAATTTATGTTGTGATTGCCCTTTTAAAATCAATAACAGATGAAACCTGAAAGGTATTCTAATTGATTTCTGAATATTTACTTTCTGATGGCAAATTTGTTCCTATTGATTGGTTCCCCTCATTTTAAAAAAAGCCCTAACCTTTTTTACATCCTTTTGTTGGATGTAAAAAAAGTCAGGGCTTTTTTTTAAAAGGAGGGGAACCAATCAATTAATGTATAATATTTTATAATAAAATAAAATTTTATTTCAGCACTGTGGTTGTCCAGGTATTCTTTACTAGAATATTGATGTCAGTGGACAAAAAGCATTGAAGAAAACTTACTTTGAACAAGGCTATAGGGAGAAGAATTGTGGCAGGAAGAGTAGAGAGGGCTTTTTGTTCAAATAAGCATTCTGTTTTGGGATTCTTAAACTGATTGTTCTGCCAATGGATAGTTGAAAGGCTCTTTTGATAGATAATGAGATAAATAGGAAAATGAAATTATAACCAAATTGGATGTTTGTGTTTGATGCTGTTAAGCCTGTAATATGATTGTTTGGATAGAGATGAAGAGGATTGACATCTGGATTTATTATATTTTGTTCCAGTTGGCTGGCCTGGTAGTTGCCTGTTTAAGGTTAAGGAATCACTTGTGAGTTCTGTAGGTCAAGCCTCATGAGAGCGTTTTTAGTAAATTTAAAACATTCCCTCACAATCTCTTTCTTCCATGCTATCAAGCTGACTGGGAAACAGCTAAACTACAGTGAAAGCATGTTTCTTATGTCTGTAGCTTTTCTCTGTGGCTGGACAGAAGGATCCAGAAGAGGGAAGTAATTAGAAGCGTGTATATAAAAAAAAAAACACAGAGAGAATGTTTTGGTTGGGTTGTAGTGATATAAAAATATACATGCTGTACATGAGGCATTATGAGTTTGTGTAATGCAAGTGAACGTGCAATGCAGTCCTTTGGAGTAAAATGATCCCCACTCTTGGCTGGGTTCTGTCTGAGAGGTAATGATTGAAATGACTGTTTTAATTTTTTAAAAATAATGATTGATAACTAATTAAATATCCTTCCCATTTATTTTTTATTTTATTTTATTTATTTGATTTGTATACCGCCCTACTCCCGAAGGACTCAGGGCGGTGAACAGCCAACAATAAAATACATAAATACACAAAATTTAAAAACCCGATAAAATCAAATTAAACTTTTTGGCCCAGACAAATTAAAATACCCCAATAATTTAAAAACAGATTAAAATTTACATATTTTAAAAAGGGAAGAGATCAGGCCAAGCCCGCTTGATGGAATAAAAAGGTCTTCACAGCACGGCGGAAGGAGCGCAGATCCGGGATCCTCCGTATCTCCGGGGGGAGCTCATTCCAGATGGTAGGTGCCCCCACAGAGAAGGCTCTCCCCCTAGGGGCCGCCAGTCGACACTGTTTGGCTGACGGCACCCGGAGGAGTCCCTCTCTATGAGAGCGTACTGGCCGGTGGGAGGCTATTGGTGGTAGTAGGCGGTCCCGTAAATAACAGGCCCTAAGCCATGGAGCGCTTTAAAGGTGGTAACCAAAACCTTGAAGCGCACCCGGAAGACCACCGGGAGCCAGTGCAGCTCGCGCAGGAGAGGTGTTACATGGGAGCGCCATGTCGCTCCCATTACCACCCGCGCAGCCGCACTCTGCGTCAGTTGGAGCCTCCGGGTGCTCCTCAAGGGGAGCCCCATGTAGAGAGCATTACAATAGTCCAGGCGGGAGGTGACGAGGGCATGAGTGACCGTGCGTAACGAGTCCCGATCCAGAAAGGGACGCAACTGGCGAATCAGGCGGACCTGATAAAAAATCCTCCCGGTCACGGCCGTCAAGTGCTCTTCTAAAGACAGCCGTGAATCCAGGAGGACGCCCAAGTTGCGAGCCCTCTCCGTGGGGGCCAATGATTCACCCCCAATAGTCAGTGATGGCGTCAACTGGCTATATCGGGACGTCGGAAACCACAGCCACTCGGTCTTGGATGGGTTGAGCCTGAGCCTGTTCCTCCCCATCCAGATCCGTACGGCCTCCAGGCATCGGGACATCACTTCAAGGGCATCGTTGGGGTGATCCGGGGTGGAGATGTACAGCTGGGTGTCATCAGCGTACTGATGGTACTCCACCCTGAAACCACGGATGATCTCGCCCAGCGGCTTCACATAAATGCTGAACAGGAGAGGTGAGAGGACCGACCCTTGCGGCACCCCACATATGAGGGGCCTCGGGGTCGACCTCTGTCCCCCTGTCAACACGGACTGCGACCGGTCAGAGAGAAAGGAGGAGAACCACCGCAACACAGTGCCTCCCACCCCTAACTCTTCCAACCGGTGCAGCATGATACCATGGTCGATGGTATCAAAAGCCGCTGAGAGATCTAACAGGACCAGGACAGAGGAGCACCCCCTGTCCCGAGCCCTCCAGAGATCATCAACCAACGCGACCAATGCCGTTTCCGTGCTGTACCCGGGCCTGAAGCCCGACTGGAACGGATCCAGATACGTCGTTTCATCCAGGTGCTGGGGAAGCTGTTGCGCAACCACACTCTCAACAACCTTTGCCACAAAACGAAGGTTGGAGACCGGACGATAATTTACCAACATTGCCGGGTCCAGGGAAGGCTTCTTGAGGAGAGGCCTCACCACCGCCTCTTTCAAGGTGGCAGGAAAGACACCCTCACCCAGCCAAGCATTTATAATCCCCTGGAACCAGCCTCGTGTCACCTCCCGAGAAGCCAGCACTAACCAGGAGGGACACGGGTCCAATAAACAAGTGGTCGCGTTCAGTCTACCCAGAATCCTGTCCACGTCCTCAGGGGTCACAGGATCAAACTCATCCCAGATAACATTCTCAAGACCTGCCCCAGTCCCTCCCCCTGAGACTATCCAGTCGGAGTCCAGATCTTCCTGAATCTGAGCGATTTTGTCATACAGATATTGGACAAAATCCTCGGCTCTACCCTCCAAGGGGTCCTCCCGCGCTTCCTGGTGGAGCAGGGAGCGGGTCACCCTAAACAGGGCGGCCGGACGATTATCTGATGACGCAATAAGAGCAGCAAAATATAAGGATATTTAATTAGTTATCAATCATTATTTTTTTAAAAAAATTAAAAGTCATTTCAATCATTACCTCTCAGACAGAATCCAGCAATGGGGACTCATTTTCCCCCCCAAGCTCACAGTCAATCATCCCAATTTGGTCAGTTAGAAAAGAAAGACCCTCAAATCCATTGTTAGCAAAAATACAACTTTATTAAAGCCAAGTGGTTACAGAAGAAGCAAAGCTGGATCTGGGGGGAGGGGGGGTTGTGCTCAAAGCATATAGTTAATTTTGCCTTGTTTCAACCTTCCCCCCTGGTTATCTTCAAGTGTCCAATTAAATTCTAACAACTTGTTTGGGTAACTTTGTTGTGGGCTGGTTCTGCATTTCATAGTGTGACCTTGGAATGGCCGGCAGCTCTCATGGGATGGCACGATGTGTAGTTTCAATTCTTCTCATGCTGACCCTCCCTTATCCCAACCCATAGCTCTCTCTCATTGAGTATGGCAGACTGGCAGCAAGCAAGTATGGCATAGCAGGATGGCAATCCTGTCATTCTGCCTCTCCTGGAAAAGACCAACCCATGGTGTCCAGTATCGCTCTTGAGGATGACTTCAGTTCTCTTGGTTAGAGTTCCTTTGCCATCACTAAAAGATGGTATGAACTCTATAACCGCCACTCCTTTCTGTCCCTCCTTCCTTTGGCTTGGGGGGTGGGCTTTTTCTTTCTTCCTGATGTTTCTTGCAGGGGTGGTTATTGGCCAACAAGTGCCTACTCAGCAGTCCAGTGGCCCTCTTTGTTGGTAAAGTATTTGGTGGAGCATTGTTTGGGTCTGGGGTGTTATTGAGGCTTGGCCCTCTCTTATCCACTTTCAAGGGTTTTCTCTTCTCTGGGGTATAGGGATTCTGTATCTCCTGTCCAGTGCATTCATGGAATGTGGTCAGATTGATCACAATTTCACTGGCCAGGACATACTACCCTTGAAGATTTCTGGGTGCCCCCTCAGGACAGGAAGGTGTAGTACAGGTGTAGTACTACAGGTGTAGTACAGCTCTTGACTCAGCACTTCTCAGAAGTAATCCATCAGAATCGACTTTGGCCCATCCCCTAGTTGACCAGCTAGTCTTCAGAATTCTTGAATGTACACTGTAATGGGTCATATT